ACACACACACACACACACACACACACACACACACACACACACACACACACACACACACACACACACACACACACACACACACACACACACACACACACACACACACACACACACACACACACACACACACACACACACACACACACACACACACACACACACACACACACACACACACACACACACACACACACACACACACACACACACACACACACACACACACACACACACACACACACACACACACACACACACACACACACACACACACACACACACACACACACACACACACACACACACACACACACACACACACACACACACACACACACACACACACACACACACACACACACACACACACACACACACACACACACACACACACACACACACACACACACACACACACACACACACACACACACACACACACACACACACACACACACACACACACACACACACACACACACACACACACACACACACACACACACACACACACACACACACACACACACACACACACACACACACACACACACACACACACACACACACACACACACACACACACACACACACACACACACACACACACACACACACACACACACACACACACACACACACACACACACACACACACACACACACACACACACACACACACACACACACACACACACACACACACACACACACACACACACACACACACACACACACACACACACACACACACACACACACACACACACACACACACACACACACACACACACACACACACACACACACACACACACACACACACACACACACACACACACACACACACACACACACACACACACACACACACACACACACACACACACACACACACACACACACACACACACACACACACACACACACACACACACACACACACACACACACACACACACACACACACACACACACACACACACACACACACACACACACACACACACACACACACACACACACACACACACACACACACACACACACACACACACACACACACACACACACACACACACACACACACACACACACACACACACACACACACACACACACACACACACACACACACACACACACACACACACACACACACACACACACACACACACACACACACACACACACACACACACACACACACACACACACACACACACACACACACACACACACACACACACACACACACACACACACACACACACACACACACACACACACACACACACACACACACACACACACACACACACACACACACACACACACACACACACACACACACACACACACACACACACACACACACACACACACACACACACACACACACACACACACACACACACACACACACACACACACACACACACACACACACACACACACACACACACACACACACACACACACACACACACACACACACACACACACACACACACACACACACACACACACACACACACACACACACACACACACACACACACACACACACACACACACACACACACACACACACACACACACACACACACACACACACACACACACACACACACACACACACACACACACACACACACACACACACACACACACACACACACACACACACACACACACACACACACACACACACACACACACACACACACACACACACACACACACACACACACACACACACACACACACACACACACACACACACACACACACACACACACACACACACACACACACACACACACACACACACACACACACACACACACACACACACACACACACACACACACACACACACACACACACACACACACACACACACACACACACACACACACACACACACACACACACACACACACACACACACACACACACACACACACACACACACACACACACACACACACACACACACACACACACACACACACACACACACACACACACACACACACACACACACACACACACACACACACACACACACACACACACACACACACACACACACACACACACACACACACACACACACACACACACACACACACACACACACACACACACACACACACACACACACACACACACACACACACACACACACACACACACACACACACACACACACACACACACACACACACACACACACACACACACACACACACACACACACACACACACACACACACACACACACACACACACACACACACACACACACACACACACACACACACACACACACACACACACACACACACACACACACACACACACACACACACACACACACACACACACACACACACACACACACACACACACACACACACACACACACACACACACACACACACACACACACACACACACACACACACACACACACACACACACACACACACACACACACACACACACACACACACACACACACACACACACACACACACACACACACACACACACACACACACACACACACACACACACACACACACACACACACACACACACACACACACACACACACACACACACACACACACACACACACACACACACACACACACACACACACACACACACACACACACACACACACACACACACACACACACACACACACACACACACACACACACACACACACACACACACACACACACACACACACACACACACACACACACACACACACACACACACACACACACACACACACACACACACACACACACACACACACACACACACACACACACACACACACACACACACACACACACACACACACACACACACACACACACACACACACACACACACACACACACACACACACACACACACACACACACACACACACACACACACACACACACACACACACACACACACACACACACACACACACACACACACACACACACACACACACACACACACACACACACACACACACACACACACACACACACACACACACACACACACACACACACACACACACACACACACACACACACACACACACACACACACACACACACACACACACACACACACACACACACACACACACACACACACACACACACACACACACACACACACACACACACACACACACACACACACACACACACACACACACACACACACACACACACACACACACACACACACACACACACACACACACACACACACACACACACACACACACACACACACACACACACACACACACACACACACACACACACACACACACACACACACACACACACACACACACACACACACACACACACACACACACACACACACACACACACACACACACACACACACACACACACACACACACACACACACACACACACACACACACACACACACACACACACACACACACACACACACACACACACACACACACACACACACACACACACACACACACACACACACACACACACACACACACACACACACACACACACACACACACACACACACACACACACACACACACACACACACACACACACACACACACACACACACACACACACACACACACACACACACACACACACACACACACACACACACACACACACACACACACACACACACACACACACACACACACACACACACACACACACACACACACACACACACACACACACACACACACACACACACACACACACACACACACACACACACACACACACACACACACACACACACACACACACACACACACACACACACACACACACACACACACACACACACACACACACACACACACACACACACACACACACACACACACACACACACACACACACACACACACACACACACACACACACACACACACACACACACACACACACACACACACACACACACACACACACACACACACACACACACACACACACACACACACACACACACACACACACACACACACACACACACACACACACACACACACACACACACACACACACACACACACACACACACACACACACACACACACACACACACACACACACACACACACACACACACACACACACACACACACACACACACACACACACACACACACACACACACACACACACACACACACACACACACACACACACACACACACACACACACACACACACACACACACACACACACACACACACACACACACACACACACACACACACACACACACACACACACACACACACACACACACACACACACACACACACACACACACACACACACACACACACACACACACACACACACACACACACACACACACACACACACACACACACACACACACACACACACACACACACACACACACACACACACACACACACACACACACACACACACACACATACACACACACACAAACAAAATTTTATCCAAAACTTAATTGTTTGTAAATAGATCTTTTTTTACTAAAACCACTGTAAGTTTTGAAAATATGAAATTCTTAAGCACTGTTTTTTCCCACCGAGTTTGCAGATCTTGAGAAGCGAACTTTTTTGTTAATTCACAATACCCTTATGTAGTCGCCAATGTAAAAAATAGATAGACAAAATCTGTTATATCTAATTGAAACAGTCTCCTAACGTATCAACTAACAAACAGGGCCCGTTGGTTGAATTATATGATTGAAAAACAACAACAGCAGCAGCAAAAACAACAAAAAAACAATTGCAATGACAACAAAAACAATAGCAACGACGACACGTCAACAACAAAAATATTAATAATAGTAATATTAATAATTATAATAGCAATAATTGTTATTGTATAAACAACTGTTATGATGCTATTAATTATAACTGATTACTTACTTGCAAAGTCAGAGGGGTGATGAGTCGTTGAATTTTTGGCGCCTTGAAACGTTCTTTTTTGCCTTCTTTTTGAATAGGTCGTTTGACTACAAATCGACGAACGTCATCTTGCTTCGTTAGGTTGAAAAGCTTTCGAATTTTACTGGCTCTCTTAGGCCCTAATCGTCGAGGAATATTAATATCAGTCAATCCAGGAATATCCTACAAGAAAACGAGATTTATTTTACAGTGTCGTGTATCAGATTTCGTAAATATGTAACTAAAGGGGGGGGGGGGATCTTTACTGAAATTAAAATCGAACTTTAACTTTCTAAATTACCAGGTATTACAAATGTTGCAAATACAAGGGATTACTTTTTACCTTTTATATGAAAAATTCAGATATCTCAACACAGCAACCGAAAAATAAATTGTTATGATATTGAATTTGTAGGATTGCAATCAGCCATTCTTTTTTGATTCAATATTATAAAGGTAGTAGCCGTTTATTGGGTTTCAACAAAAGTGAAGCTATGTATTTATTATATTACCTAGTTTGGCTACCGCTTATTTTCACCCTACTTTTAAATCATCGCAATGAAAAAATTCACTTTCCACCTTTTAAAATAAAGTTTGAGATAAGCTTACAGTTTTTTTGTCTGGCTTAGGTTAATATTTAATCTGAATTCTTATAACTTATAAACTCATAAGACTATGTTGATATCTAGGCAATGAGACTGATTTTTTTTTTCAGCCAACTCCAAATACGTTTATGCATTAGTTATATTAATCATTTAAAATGTTTCCAAATTTTTAAGCCATTGGAAGCTGTATTTTGCAAGTTATAAGCGTTTCTTATAAAGTTATTTTAAATACACTAGGCCATAAGTAGCTTGCTCGAGGTTTTTACACTAAAAATTGTACTATGTACGGCACCAGAAATTAGTTCTTAGGAATAATAGTAACAATAAAAACTTAACTATTAGTGTTATTTATTTATTCCACTAAATCACGCTTTAATTAATACTGGAAAAAACATGCGAAATAAAAAATATAAATAAACAAATTTTAAAAAGTCTTATACGTACATTTTTTGTAAAGTAATTTATTTTGCAACTAAAAGTAGCGAAACTACGCGGGTCTAATTAGAGGGCGATGTCAGCAAATAGCAGTGCGATGCCAGACCTTATTGACGTAGCAGAGTAACCGCGCGTTTAAGCCATTATACACTCTCTTTTAACAAACAATTTTTTAACAAATATTCTTGCAATTTATGGTAAAGTGGTATGGTAGTATACATATATTGGCTCTTGCAAAAGTGAATATTCAAGTTTTAATCATCTTCATGCAGTAGATCAGACTTGACAATAAAAAATGTGTAAGTATAAAATTTTGGTTGTTAGGTTTACGAACTAATTTTTCTTTTTTATTCATAAAAAAATTAGCATTAAATACGAACATTAAAAAGTTATTTGTCGATGGAAAAAAAACCAAGAAATTTTTTAATTTTTATTACGTCAAGATAATTTTAATACCTAAGGAATTTAATTGGTTCAATCAATATCCATTTTGGGCGGCAGGATTTATAGCGTTGTAATTTTTGAAACTAACAATTTTGCGATAGGTCGCTATATTGCTTTTAAAGAAGACGACCGGGCACATTTTGTTATTGACATTTAAAAACAATTTTTTGCCTTATCTTTTTCATCTCTTTGCTTTTTGATCTTAACAAACTTTGTTCATGATATAACTTAGAAAAAAAAAATTTTCAGCTCTCAAGGAAAAATCATTTGTACGTAAAATTATAAGTGAAATAACTGTTTGAAGTCATACTTTTGATGATTAATAGGTGAATTATGCGTTTGAGTAAATTAACGATTTCAGAATTCTGACCTCGAGAAAATATGTGGCAGAAGTGGATTTTTCATTTTACTCCTTCCTGGGGGGCCTAAATACTAATAAGCATTCCTATGCATTTTTTTCTCCTGAATTCCATGGTATTCTTTGTTTTTACCATTGCGCCGACTAAAGAGATCTGTGATTAAAAATTTGGAAAAAAATGAGATAATGCGTGATGTATCGATGATATTTAATCATAAAAAAATGACAATAATCAAAACTGCGGTTCTAAGAATACGTATTTCTATGCAACTTTTTCTCTTGAAACCGATGGTATCAGCAGTTTATACTATAGTATCGATTGAAAAACTAAAGTTAAGAGATAACAGTATCAAAAAAAAATCTGCAGGTAAAACTTTATCAACAAGTTCAGGAATACCAATCACTGACGTTATAATAATAATAGTAATAATAATAATAATAATAATAATAATAATAAAAAAGATTACTAGTAGCAGTAAAAAACCGACATCTAAACTAGATATACGGTGTAACACCAACAACTGCTTTACAGACCCGATAGTTAGTAGTAGTGCCTTTTCAAGGAGAATGACACTCTTTTTCGATGGGAGCACAGCTTTCTTAAGTTCAGGAACGCAACTCTTTTAAGTTACTTAATTCGCAATGGATGGTCAATCAATTTGGACTTGATGTATTTGTAATTACTAACTTAATGGGTCTTCCTCCTTTAAATCTAATTGCACAGAAGCGTTACGAGGTAAGTTTATGAGAGAAATAACCATTACAGCTTGTCTTAACAGCTTTGTGCTACCTAGAATATCAGTGTTATTTATTCTGTTAGTTATTCTAATAACATAGAGCTACACTATAAAATGATTAGAGGTAGCTTAGGCATTATGTACCGTGATATATGAATAAACATTTTTTTTAATAAGTAGGATCAATCTCTTAAACTCACTTATCTTAAGCATATATTTGATTTTACGTGTTATCATCACTACAACAGTCATAAACATTGGCAAAAACGAAAATAAGACTTTCTTACTGTTATCTGTGCATGCACAGAAGACTACGGATAACTTTCCTTTTAATTTTCTCAAAATCTTAGTTGTCTACGTGTTACTTTTATAATATTAGGGGGCTCTGCCCCTAGCGAGCTTTGCACGCCAATCCCTGAACTTTCATCAGATCATAATATTTTTTATAACTTTAAGCACTGTTTTTTCCCACCGAGTTTGCAGATCTTGAGAAGCGAACTTTTTTGTTAATTCACAATACCCTTATGTAGTCGCCAATGTAAAAAATAGATAGACAAAATCTGTTATATCTAATTGAAACAGTCTCCTAACGTATCAACTAACAAACAGGGNATAGTTTCACCGTATTTCTGCCCCTAGCGAGCTTTGCACGCCAATCCCTGAACTTTCATCAGATCATAATATTTTTTATAACTTTCTAAAAATTACATAAAAAATAGCTTTTTTTTTTTAATCCTTATGCTAGTATAAGTGCTAGTTATTTAATTTATTTTTTAACTTTTAACTACATGATTTGTCTTAACTATCAGCATCACAAAATTTAAGATGGAAAAATACATTCAAATTCCGCACTCTTTAATGGCAATGACTAATTTAATGTAAGCTAGTAGTCAGTTACTAATGCTATTGAGGCTTTACTATAAGATCGTCAAAATTTAAAGATAGGATGAATAGATTTATTATGAAAAACAGTTTCTACAAAAATTTTATTGTGTAAAGCCGATCGCATACTTCCGGAGTTTGTGTCAATTTTTTTCTTGACGATTTCTACGAGTCTACGTGTTAAGGAGGCTTGGGTATTTGGTGACGTATTAACTGAGGAGCTGCTGTGGGGTACTGATCATGTAAATGATTATTCGTATTTTTTTTCACAATTATATTTATCATATAAGTGTATCAACAAAATATTAATACTACGCGGAAAAGTCACCGGGAAATAGATATTTAAAAAATTGTTAGTTTTCCCAAGGTACCGTGCGTAAAGATGACGGCCCTGCTACGATAAAAAAGACAACACCGTACTGTCTTGCTCTCATCTGCTATTATATACCTATACTTGTGTTGGACTTAAATCTTTATGCTTTTATGTTTATGTATGTAAAGCGCATGCGCACTTACAATACCTGAACAAAACAATCTTCACGTTTGACATTTTCCTCACTGTTTTCTCAGAATTAAACGTGTTGACCCTATCTTCTTTTTAAAGTAATAGATTCTTTATAATTAAAAGTGTATGTACCAATTCGACTTTTGGGCCCACAGCTTTTCATTGCAGTAGAATAGTCAATTTGATTTCGGGTTCCATAAGGTTAGGTGTTAAAATGACGAATTTTCACAAGCGATTTTCTTGAAATGAATGTGTTGAACTACCTATTTCTTTTTCATAAAAAAATCTGGCGTACTTTATTTACGTAATCTCTGAATTTTAAAGCTAGCCAGCCTTTTATTCAAAATAGCCCAAACTTCCTTAAATTGGTGGTTTTTTGAAAGCAGTGGCGAAAATTATATCGATGACTCAAGTATTTTTAAATTGCTAGTGAACTTGGCATATTTTATCAACATAACCTTAAAGTTTATTAGACTTTTTTCGGATAGTTTTGAAGTGCCTAAACCACCTTAGACACATTTTGTACCACTATACCTTGGATGTTGAGTTTGAAAATTAGCTTTATACAACAGGGGTATTAAAGCGAAAAATCGATTAAAAATTCACAAAGGTCGATTTAATATCTTTAGGTAGATGTGACGGATCACTTAAGTGACCTGTATATTAATCAACTTAACTACTTATACTTATTTGATTATTATTTTTTTAATTATCTGACAATGTCAATTCGAGCCTCTGAAATTATTTAAATCAAAAAGGTTATAACTGAGCAATAAGAATCGTCATAGAATTTGGATCTAAAATGTATACGACGTCAAATATTTGTATGCTATTTTTATATGACAGATAACTGGTGAACGGTTTTCAGCTTCGTTTTGTTTCAAAAATGAATTAAGAGCTTTACGAAGCAATAATAACTTTTGTTCGACTTTTAGAAAAAAGGTTTTATTAATTTAAAAGATGTGTAAATAGGGTAAGGCGGTCGCCAACGAGGAAGGAAGGATGATTACGGTAATAATTGCTAACATATACATGAATAAGATGGTGAAATTACGTAGACGTCTTACTTCTTTTTTTGTCCTTATAATTACCTTTCTCATTAATGTTGTCTGCATAAGTCATCTTTTATCAACATAATAATACAAACTGAAATGATAAACATTTGTTTATCACATAGTTACATGGTAGGGCATTCCACACATCTCTTCACTTCCTTC